AAATAAATAAATTTTTATTCTTTTGGTACAGGGTCTCGCTATGCAGTTTGGGCTTGTAATGTTCTCCTGCCTTGGCCTCCTAGTGCTGGGATTACAGGTAGGCACCACCAAGCCTGGTTTTTTTTCGGAGTGGCGCCAGGTTTGTTGGCATTGCCTCTAGAAGAAGGTGTTGGGCCTCTTGGTGGTGAAGCGGGGCTTGTGCTGGCGACGCAGGACCCTGTGGGGCAGCGTGAACTTGATTTTGGAGTCGTGGAACTGCTTGACAGCGGGCTGGCGGTGCTTGCTGGCTGCGATCTCCTCCACCTTCGTGATCTGGATGGAGTGGGCGCGGGCTCGGTGCCGGGCGCCCAGGTCCCGGTAGCACTGGGTAATGGCGCCCGCCTGCTGTGGTCAGGTCCCGGTACTCCCGGTACATGTTGTGGGTGCCACCGTGGGAGTCACAGCGCAGCCAGATGCTGAAGTTCTTCACCTGCAGCGGAGACTTCTCAAACACCTGCCCACAGTAGACGATCTCCTCTGAAGCTTTCTTCTTCTTCAGCTGGGACACCAAGTACCAGAAACGCGACTTGATGAAGAGATAACTGGTTGCAAAAATTCACATGTGGTACAGAGGCAGAGTGCCATACTTTGGGGCAGGTAGGCAGCACCCCACCACCTTGTATTCCCGGAATGTGCCCGAGGCCTTCATGGCGCTCCCTTCTTGCATGCTGCCACCCACAAAAAAAAAAAAAAAAAAAAAAAAAAAGCCCACGCCTGGTTTTGGGGCTGGCACAGCATGCAGTACCAGGGATCGAACTTGGGACTTGAGTGCTTACTAGGTGCTTTCCAGGTGCTTATGCCACCAAGCTATCTCCGCAACCCCAATTTAATGAATTGTGACCACACAAATTTATTACAGTCTGTAAATCAGAAGTCTGAAACTGGGTCCAATCAGATCACAATCAAATTGTTGGTTCAGTAGCTCCTTTCGTTCTGGGAGCCTCAGGAGATGCGCACCCTCCCCTTCCCAGTTTTGGGTGGGCCCAATTGCTTGCTGTGTGATTTCATCCCCTCATTTTAAAGTTTTTTTTTTTTTTT